AGTGGGACGATCTCGCACACTCGTGGGAGTGGGGAAGGTTGCCTTGTTTTGCGGTTTTCTTCCTTTTTGAAGCATGCCAAGACCGGGGACTCACTGAAGTCCCCGAAAGGCATGAGAGGAGGGCGATCCGGTACACTCATGGGAGTGGGACGATCTCGCACACTGGTGGGAGTGGGGAAGGTTGCGTTGTTGTGCGGGTTTCTCCCTTTTTGGAGGATGCCAAGAGCAAGGACTCTCTGAAGTCCTAGAAAGGCATGGGAGGGGGGCGATCCGGTACATCATGGGAGTGGGACGATCTCGCACAATCGTGAGAGTGGGACGATCTCGCACACTCGTGAGAGTGGGGAATGTTGCTTTGTTGTGCGGTTTTCTCCCTTTTTGGGGGATACCAAGAGCGGGGACTCTCTAAAGTCCCCGAAAGACTTGACTGAGAACTCAGAAAACAGACTGGAGGGGAGAAGGGAGAAAGGAGAGAAGGAGGAGAAGGTTGAGGAGCGAAAGGGAAAGGAAAGTAAAACCCCACTTTGCTAAAATGAGGCGCACAGCCCAACCCACATTGGGGTGGCTTTAAAGAGAAACAAACGGTAAACCCCCCCTTTTCTCTCTCTCCGTGGCTTTGGAGGCATTGTTCGCTCAATCTCTCTCTCTCAATCTCTCCTTCAGGCGAGCTCTCAATCTCTCTCTCTCTCCTTCGAGGCGAGCCTCTGTGTGAGTGTGTGTTTGGTTAATGGGGAAGCCTCTGCCTGCCTCCTTCCTCCTTCCTTCCCTCCCTTCTTCTCCTCCTTCTCTCCCTCTCCTCCCTTCCCTTCCCCTCTCCCTCTCCCTCTCTCTTCCTCGCCTGCCTCGCTTTGCCTTGCCTTGCGGCTCAGCCAACCCACCCCTGCGCTGCGAGCTTAGTTGCTGCCGCCCGCTGCATTGTGTAAGACGCGACCTGTTATGGCCACCACTACTTCCGGGTTCCCGCAGTCGGGTCCGAACCCACCTCCCCAGCACTTTGCACGCGCCCCCGCCGCCCACAGGGCAGCGCGCGCGCCAGGCAGCCAGCCCAAGCCAACGCTCCCGGGAAACCCCTCGCGCGCGCTGGGTGCTGCTCCTGCTGCTTCCCTTCCTCCCTTCTTCTTTTTTTGATCCTTATTTTGCGATCTTCTTCCTTTAGGAGAGAAGCAGAAGAAGAAGAGATCCGATGAGGACTTGCGAGTCGGGACTGCAGCCGACGCGGAGAGAAAGAGGAAAAGAAGGAAGCGAGGTTGTGCAGCCCAACTCTGTCCTCGCCATCCGAGGTGTCCTGCAGCCGCGCGCAGCGGATCCTGCCTCATCCTTCCTCATCCTTCCTCCACTTGCCGCCTTTTGATTGACAGCTGGAGTGCCCCAAAGTCATGCGAGTTGCTGGTGGGGTTTGAGAGGCACTTTTTCCCCCAAAAAGCACCCAATTTGGAGGGGAAAAGGAAGGATATTTGCTTTCTCCCCGCCGCTGTCTTGGAAACCAGAGAGAAGAAGAGAGACAAGCGCCTTCCTTCCTTCCTTCCTTCCTTCCTCCCTTCCTCCTTTCTTCCCTGAAGTCCATTCTGCTGGAGACTCTCAAGCGACTGGCAACTCTAAAGGATTCTTTTTCCCCCCTTTTTTTATTTTGGGGGGTGGGAGGGAGGGGGGGTGGGGGGAGTTTTGTTTCTTTCCACCCTGGCCTTACAGAGGATACCGTAGAAGTCCAAAAGGAACTGAAGCAGGCCGATGGCGCAAAGGGTATGTATATAAATATATATATTTTCTCTCTTTCTCTCTCAAAATAAAAGTAGAAATACAATATTTCAAAACTCAGGGAGACTACAAGGCCTGGGAAGGGAATTTTGCATACTTTCCAAATATTTTTTTGTTGTTGTTGTTGTTGGAAGGACTATCTTTGAATCTGAAATAGTGGGAAGCACAGAGAAGTTCCCCCCCCCCCCCCCGTCTTATTTATTCCCGGAGTGAAAGGAAAGCGGACTTCCACGCTGGATTTAAACTGGCAGGAGGTCCTAAAAAAAGGACAAGGTTTTGCATTTCTTTCCAACTAGGATTTTAGAATAAAGTCTAGCTTTGGCCCTTTAGGTTGTGCTGAGAATATCCTCATGATATAATAGTAGTAATAACAATAATAATAAATCTAGAATAGTCTAGCTTTGGCCCTTTAGGTTATGCTGAGGATATCCTCACTAATAGTAATAATAATAATTCAAGAATAAATCTAGCTTTGGCCCTTTAGGTTATGTTGAGGATATCCTCACTAATAGTAATAATAACAATTCAAGAATAAGTCTAGCTTTGGCCCTTTAGGTTATGCTGAGAATATCCTCATGATATAATAGTAATAACAATAATAATAAATCTAGAATAGTCTACCTTTGGCCCTTTAGGTTATGCTGAGAATATTCTTATGCTATAATAATAATAATACTAATAACTCTAGAATTGTCTATCTTTGGACCTTTAGGTTATGCTGAGAATATCCTCATGAAATAATAGTAATAACAATAATAATAAATCTAGAATAGTCTACCTTTGGCCCTTTAGGTTATGCTGAGAATATTCTTATGCTATAATAATAATAATACTAATAACTCTAGAATTGTCTATCTTTGGACCTTTAGGTTATGCTGAGAATATCCTCATGAAATAATAGTAATAACAATAATAATAAATCTAGAGTAGTCTAGTTTTGGCCCTTTAGGTTATACTGAGAATATCCTCATGATATAATAGTAGTAGTAATAATAATAATAATAATAAATCTATAATATCTTTGGCCCTTTAGGTTATGCTGAGAATATTCTCACGATATAATAATAATAATACTAAAAACTCTTGAATAGTCTATCTTTGGCCCTTTAGGTTATGCTGAGAATATTCTTATGATATAATAATAATACTAATAACTCTAGAATAGTCTATCTTTGGCCCTTTAGGTTATGCTGAGAATATCCTCATGATATAATAATAATAATAATAATAATAATAATAATAATAATAATAATAATAAATCTAGAATAAACTATCTTTGGCCCTTTAGATTATGCTGAGAATATCCTCAAGATATTATAGATAGATAGATAGATAGATAGATAGATAGATAGATAGATAGATAGAATAGTCAATCTTTGGCCCTTTAGGTTATGCTGAGAATATCCTGCGATATAATAATAATAATAATAATAATAATAATAATAATAATAATATCTAGAATAGTCTGTCTTTGTCTCTTTAGGTTATGCTGAGAATATCCTCATTATATTATTATTATTATTATTATTATTATTATTATTATTATTATACAAGAGTCTATCTTTGGCCTTTTAGGTTATGCTGAGAATATCCTCATGATATAATAGTAATAACAATAATAATAAATCTAGAATAGTCTACCTTTGGCCCTTTAGGTTATGCTGAGAATATTCTTATGCTATAATAATAATAATACTAATAACTCTAGAATTGTCTATCTTTGGACCTTTAGGTTATGCTGAGAATATCCTCATGATATAATAGTAATAATAATAATAATAATTCTAGAATAGTCTACCTTTGGCCCTTTAGGTTATGCTGAGATATAATAATATCCTCACTACCTCTGCGGATGCTTGCCATAGATGCAGGCGAAATGTCAGGAGAGAATGCCTCTAGACCATGGACATACAGCCCGAAAAAAAACCTCCTTCCCCTGAAATATATGCATTTACTATATTTTTATGTACATTGAAACTTTAATAAACATATTAAAAAAAGAAAAAACCTACAACAACCCAATAATAATAATAATAATAATAATTCAAGAATAGTCTATCTTTGGCCCTTTAGGTTATGCTGAGAATATCCTCACGATATAATAATAATAATATCTAGAATAGTCTATCTTTGGTCCTTTAGGTTATGCTGAGAATATCCTCTTGATATAATAATAATAAAAAAAAATCTAGAATAAACTATATTTGGCCCTCTAAGTTATGTTGAGCATATCCTCACGATATAATAATAATAATACTAATAACTCTAGAATTGTCTATCTTTGACCCTTTAGGTTATGCTGACAATATCCTCATGATATAATAATAATAATAATCATCATCATAATTATAGAATAGTCTGTCTTTGGTTCTTTAGGTTACGCTGAGAATATCCTCACCATATAATAATAATAATAATAATAATAACTCTAGAATAGTCTATCTTTGACCTTTTACTGAGAATATCCTCATGATATAATAATAATAATAATAATAATAATAATAATAAAATCGAGAATATCTTTGGCCCTTTAGGTTATGCTGAGAATATCCTCATGATATAATAATACTAATAAATCTAGAATAGTCTGTCTTTGGCCCTTTAGGTTATGCTGAGAATATCCTCACGATATAATAAATTTTATTAAAGTTGTATTTACTGGGATTTATAGTTCACCTACAATCAAAGAGCATTCTGAGCCCCACCAACGACAGAATTGGGGGCAAACTTCCTACACAGAACCTCCATGACCAACAGAAAATACTTAAAGCCATCCAGTCCAACTCCCTTCACCAGGGCAAGAAAATCAAAGCCCTCCTGACAAAGAGCCATCCAGCCATAGATATAGATAGATAGATATGATTCACTCACAGATATAGTATTTGAAAGAGAACTCTAAAGAAGGAAAATTATATGTTGCCTGATCCAGAGTAGGCAAAGCAGGCAATCTCCATATCAACACTGACAAAGAAACAGCAAAAATAGTGTTTACCCACAAGCAGAAAATAATTACATATATTAGAAACCAGCACTTTATAGTTACTTTATTTTCCAGATCACCAGACTGGGACACAGCAATGCGTGGCAGGGGGCTGCTAGATAGATAGAGAGATAGATAGAGAGATAGAGAGATAGAGATACACATATATACATACACACACATATAAAATAATAATAATAAGGGCTGTAAAATACACATACATATATACATACACACACATATAAAATAATAATAAGGGCTGTAAAAAGAAATCTGTTGAATGAGGCTCAAACTAGTCCATACAATCCAATCCTTTAAAAAAACGACTTGAGGGAAACAAGAGCAGTCATGTGCATCCAGAAGTATTTCTTGTCGATTTCTACTCAGTGGCACTTATCCCCATAGCTCAGAATTGCAGCAATCACACAAAGAATATGGCATTTAATAAGAAATTCAAATTTTAAGTTAATTTCCTAGCATATTTTGGGGGCTCTCTGAGAGGAGAAAAGTTTCTCGACTTTTTATTGACTTTTATCATAAACTCAGCAGTCAAGACACACACTGAGAGACACAAATAACTTAGCCTTCTCTTCTGTTTGCTCTTAAATTAAAATAGAAAGGTTCCCCATTGCCCCCACTTCTCTCTGAGGATATTCCCAGCGTTGGTCTCCTGTTAATAAAACACTCTGAAGGAAGAGCGGTGTGAAATAGGCTGAGCTGAGTTTCCCTGAGTAAATGCAAGGAAAACTGGAGGTGCAGGAGATCGACTTTTAGCTGGAGACTTTCAGTCACTTCTCCCACCAAATCCTTGGAGGGTTGATCTTGAAGCACCCGGCTTCTTAAGGCCAAGCCACAGTGGGATAGAATCCAGTGAATTGCCCTCTCAGCTAAATAAAATCCCACATTATCTGCTTTGAACTGGGATTTATGGCAGTATGGATTAATAATAATAATAATAATAATAATAATAATAATAATAATAAGCATCACACAGTCCTAGACGCTTGGAAAGTGTTCGACTTGTGATTTTGTGATACGAAATCCAGGATATAGATCTCGTTTGCTGGGACATACTGTAATGGAGAGACTTTCAGTCCTGTCGAGCCACTTCTCCCACCAAATCCTTGGAGGGTTGATCTTGAAGCACCCGGCTTCTTAAAGCCAGGCCACAGTGGGATAGAATCCAGTGAATGGCCCTCTCAGCTAAATAAAATCCCACATTATCTGCTTTGAACTGGGATTTATTGCAGTGTGGATTAATAATAATAATAATAATAATACAACATCGCACAGTCCTAGACGCTTGGGAAGTGTTCGACTTGTGATTTTGTGATACGAAACCCAGCATATAGATCTCGTTTGCTGTGACATACTGTAATGTCAGTAAAATAATAATAATATAATATTAATATAATTAATATAATATTAATAATAATATAATAATAATATACATTATTTTTATACCCCGCCAACTATCCCCCCTAGGGTTTACAAGTGGATTCAGATAACCCAGTTCAAAGCAGATACTGTGGGATTTTCTGCCTTGATATTATGGGTTATATGGCTGTATAGAAGAGCCCTCTTGACTATACACTATTTGAAGAAATTTGACAAAATTCTCTGCTCCAAATTGGAAAGTGTTGTTCCCTGTTTGTTTGTGCGGTCCTTAACTTTGAATGGAGCACTTCCACTCCAGAAATTTCGTTTTTGTGACCGCTACAAACGAGGCGGAATTGGTGGAGACGCAGATGATCGCTTGAAAAACTCGAGCGAAAATGTGCTGCAGGATGTCCCGCAAGAAACAAAGTTTTCCCCTCTGTTTTTACGATAGGAAAATGACATTTTATCAATTTTATAACTCAGGAACTAAAAACCGTGTTTCATAGTGATAGAGGAAAACCTTCATTTCTCCACAACTCCCACTTTGATGGGCTAAAATAATTAGAAAATAAATACAGAAAGGCTCTGGCTTCCCAAGCTTCTTTTGGGAAGGGACACTTTCTTGTTTTGAGGCAAATCTACAACTCAGGAACTAAAAATCGTGTTGCTTAGTGCCGCTAGTGATAGAGGAAAGACTTCACTTCTGCACAATCCCCACTTTAATAGGGGTTAAAAAAATAGAAAAGAAGGGCAGAAAGGCTCTGGCTTCCCAAGCCTCTTGTTTTGATGCAAATCTACCGGGGGAATGTGGGGAAAGGGAGGGGACGTTGTCTGAACCCACGTGCTGTTTCCACTCCAGCAAGAAAGCAGATTCCACCTGAACATTAGGAAGAACTTCCTGACTGTGAGAGCTGTTCAGCAGTGGAACTCTCTGCCCTGGAGTATGGTAGAGGCTCCTTCTTTGGAACCTTTTAAACAGAGGCTGAATGGCCATCTGTCGGGGGTGCTTTAAATGCAATTTTCCTGCTCCTTGGCAGGGGGTTGGACTGGATGGGGGTCTCTTCCAACTCTATGATTCTATGATAAGCAAGCCAAGCAGGGAGAAGCCAGTCCTCATAAGTCTCACAGGACTCCTTTCCTGGCGAGGAGACGGTCCCAGGGCCCACGAGGGGAAAATTGCATGCGGGGAAGGGTCTGGGAAGGCTGCTAGGAAGTAAGCGTCGGTGTGGAGGCGGGCGTGGGGAGCCTGGAGTCCTTGCTTAGCGTCCCCCGAGCCCCTTCCTCCTTTCCTGGCGAGGAGACGGTCCCAGGGCCCACGAGGGAAGAATTGCATGCGGAGAAGAGTCTGGGAAGGCTGCTAGAAAGTCAGTATCGACGTGGAGGGAAGCGTGGGGAGCCTGGACTCCTTGCTTAGCGTCCCATGAAGTAGTCCTCATAAGTCCCACGGGGTTCCTTTCTCCTTTCCTGGCGAGGAGACGGTCCCAGGGCCCACGAGGGAAGAACTGCATTGGGGAAAGAGTCTGGGAAGACTGCTCGGAAGTCAGTGTCGGCGTGGAGGGAGGCGTGGGGAGCCTGGAGTCTTTGCTTAGCGTCTCACGAGCCCTTTTCCTCCTTTCCTAGCGAGGAGACGGCCTCAGAGCCCACGAGGGAAGAATTGCATTCGGGGAAGGGTCTGGGAAGTCTGCTAGGAAGTTAGTTTCAGCGTGGAGGGAGGCGTGGGGAGCTTGGAGTCCTTGCTTAGCGTCCCACGAGCCCCTTCCTCCTTTCCTGGTGAGGAGACGGTCCCAGAGCCCACGAGGGAAGAATTACATAGGGGAACGGGCCTGGGAAGGCTGCAAGGAAGTCAGTGTCGGCGTGGAGGGAGGCGTGGGGGGTCCTTGCTTAGCGTCCCACGAGCCAGTCCTCATAAGTCCCACGGGGCTCTTTCTCCTTTCCTGGTGAGGAGACGGTCTCAAACTCCACGAGGGAAGAATTGCATTGGGGAGTCAGGGAAGACTGTTAGGAAGTCAGTGTCGGCGTGGATGGGGTCGTGGGGAGCTTGGAGTCCTTTCTTAGCATCCCACGAGCCCCTTCCTCCTTTCCTGGCGAGGAGACAGTCTCAGAGCCCACGAGGGAAGAATTGCATGCGGGGAAGGGTCTGGGAAGGCTGCTAGAAAGTCAGTGTCGGCGTGGAGGGAGGCGTGGGGAGCCTGGAGTTCTTGCTTAGCCTCCCACGAGCCAGTCCTCATAAGTCCCACGGGGCTCCTTTCTCCTTTCCTGCCGAGGAGACGGTCTGAGACCCCACGAGGGAAGAATTACATAGGGGAAAGGGTTTGGTAGGCTGCTAGAAAGTCAGTGTCGGCGTGGATGGGGTCGTGGGGAGCCTGGAGTTCTTGCTTAGCGTCCCACGAGCCAGTCCTCATGAGTCCCACGGGGCTCCCTCCTTTCCTGGCGGGGAGACAGTCTGAGACCCCACGAGGGAAGAATTGCATTGGGGAAAGAGTCAGGGAAGGCTGCTAGAAAGTCAGTGTCGGCGTGGAGGGAGGCGTGGGGAGCCTGGAGAGACCCTTCCTCCCTTCCTGGCGAGGAGACGGTCCCAGGGCCCACGAGGGAAGAATTGCATGCGGGGAAGGGTCTGGGAAGGCTGCTAGGAAGTCGTGGGGAGCCTGGAGTTCTTTCTTAGCGTCCCAAGAGCCCCTTCCTCCTTTGTTAGCGAGGAGTCGGTTCCAGGGCCCACGAGGGAAGAATTGCATAGGGGAAAGGGTCTGGGAAGTCAGTGTCGGCGTGGAGGGAGGCGCGGGGAGTCCTTGCTTAGCGTCCCACGTCCTTTCCTGGCGAGGAGACCGTCCCATGGCCCACGAGGGAAGAATTGCATGCGTGTAAAGGTCTGGGAAGTCAGTGTCGGCGTGGAGGGAGGCGTGGGGAGTCCTTGCTTAGCGTCCCACGGGGCCCTGACCTTCTCCTCTTCCTTTTGCCTCCTCTGCTGCAGTACGACGACTTGCCCCACTACGGCGGGATGGACGGCGTGGGGCTGCCGAGCACCATGTACGGGGACCCCCACGCCGCGCGCTCCATGCAGCCGGTCCACCACCTCAACCACGGCCCGCCGCTCCACTCGCACCAGTACCCGCACACGGCCCACGCCAACGCCATGCCCCCCAGCATGGGCTCCTCCGTCAACGACGCCCTCAAGAGAGACAAAGATGCCATTTATGGGTAGGTGGTGCATGATGGCCCCTTGGGCCTCCCTCGGCTCTGCGACCTGCGCTTCCCCAGCCGTCTCCCCGCAGAACTGTGTTGTGTTGTGTTGTGTTGTTTTGTGGCCGCCGGGTTTGGTTTAGGTCACCACCGCCTTCCCTGGGGGGGATCCACCCGGGAGCCCCAAGTTTGGAAAGGAAAACGCTTCTGAAACCCTTTTAGTTCAGTGGCAACAGGGAAAGGTTGTCTGAAGTGTGCACAGATTTGACAGTGCAGGAAAGACTCCAGCCGCGCTTCACAGAAAGGAAAAACCGGCCTGTTTATGCTTATTTTTGCTTATTTTCCAGCCAATATTTGGGGTTTTTAAACTACCTATTTGGCCTACGGGTGGAAAGGTTTAAGAAGCCCTGCTCTAAAGAACCAAATACTTTGAGAAATTGACAGGAAAGAAGGGAATTGAGAGAGAGAGGGAGAGAAGGAAGGAGGGATGTGTTTAAAAGTATTCCCAACTTCCAAATAAAGGCGCAGTGCCGGCAGGACTGAAGATTAACAGGTCACAGGGGGTGAGCGGGTGAGCTCCCTCTGTCAGCTCCAGCTCCCCACGCCAGGGCGTGAGAGAAGCTTTCCAGAAGGATGGTTAACACATCAAAACATCCCCTGGGCAACGTCCTTGCAGACCAGAAGCGGCTTGCAGTTTCTCAAGTCACTCCTGCCGCAAAAAACAAGCAAACAAACCAAAAAACTTCCACAGAGATATTGCGGAGAAGGTTGAGAATAGCTCCGGATTATTTGCCCGCAACTTTTGGGGAGAAAGCTGCAAAACCCGAGGGGTTAACAAAGCGAGGAAGGCTGTGGGAATGATAGGAGAGAAAAAATCCAAAGCTTTGTCCCTTGCTTGAGAAGACTTCTTTGCCTTCTTTGTGTGACAAAATAACGCGTTTTCAAACTGGTCCAGAAATCTCAAAATAAGAGGCAACTCCAGGCCTTTCCGCACAGAATATCAAAGCAGAAAATCCCACATTATCTGCTTTGATCTGGAATATATGGCAGTGTGGACTCACAGCCATATAACCCAGAATATCAAGGCAGAAAATCCCACATCTGCTTTGAACTGAAAGATATGGCAGTGTAGACTCAGGCCGTTCCACAGAGCTCTCTAACCCAGAATATCAAAGCGGAACTGGAATATATGGCATTGTGGACTCAGGGCCCCTCCACACAGCCATATAACCCAGAATATCAAGGCAGAAAATCCCACATTATCTGCTTTGAACTGGAATATATGGCATTGTGGACTCAGGGCCCCTCCACACAGCCGTATAACCCAGAATATCAAGGCAGAAAATCCCACATTATCTGCTTTGAACTGGAATATATGGCATTGTGGACTCAGGGCTGTTCCACACAGCCATATAACCCAGAATATAAAGGCAGAAAATCCCACATTATCTGCTTTGAACTGGGTGATCTGAGTCCACACTGCTATATATCCCGCTTCAAAGCAGATACAGTGGGATTTTATTCAGCTGTGCCGAAGAGGCTTCAGAATATCAAGGTAGATAATCCACAGTATCTGCTTTGAACTACATTATTTGAATCCAGGCTGCCATATATTTTTTTATTATTATTATTATTATTATTATTATTATTATTATTCATTTATTACATGCATTTCTATCCCGCCCTTCTCCCCCCATAGGGGAGATTGTGATTGTAAGCAATCACAATTATATACATAAAAAATAATTCGTATAAGAGGTTGCTATTTACAACATACTGCCATATAATCCGGTTCGGTGGAAGGGACTTTAGACCTCCAATAGCCCAGCACAGTGCACTTGCTCAAATTTGGAACACCAACCACAGCTTCAGGCCTCTTCCACACAGCTGTATAAAATCCACATTGAACTGGATTATATAGCAGCCTGGACTCAGATAATCCAGGGCCCTTTTACACTGCCAAATAATCAAGATTATCAATACTAATACTAATAATAATAATAATAATATAAAACTTTATTTATAAAATCCACATTGAACTGGATTATATAGCAACCTGGACTCAGATAATCCAGGGCCCTTTTACACTGCCAAATAATCCAATAATAATAATAATAATAATAATAATAATAATAATAATAATAAAACTTTATTTATATACTGCTCTATTCAGGGTGGTTTCCACAAAACAAACATTAAAACATACAGAGTATCCATTAAATATAAACCTAACCTGTTACAAGTGGGCCTGGACAGTTGGAAAGGGCTGGGGAACCAGTGAAGTAAAGTCTACACTGCCATATAATCCGGTTCAAAGCACATAATCTGGATTTTATCTGGCAGTGTAGTTCAAAATAGATGTTGTGGATTATCTGGTTATATGGTCGTTTGCAAGAACCCGTTGGATGCATTGAACTGGATAATGTTAGCCTACACTGCCATATAATCCAGTTCAAAGAGGATAATCTGGATTTTATCTGGCAGTGTAAAAGCGACACTAGTTCAAAATATATATTGTAAATTATCTGCCTTGATATTCTGGGTTATATGACCGTTTGGAAGAACCCTTTGGATGCATTGAACTGGATAATGTCATATAATCCAGTTCAAAGAGGATAATCTGGATTTTATCTGGCAGTGTAGAAGCGACCCTAGTTCAAAATATATATTGTAAATTATCTGCCTTGATATTCTGAGTTATATGACCGTTTGGAAGAACCCTTTGGATGCATTGAACTGGATAATGTCATATAATCCAGTTCAAAGAGGATAATCTGGATTTTATCTGGCAGTGTAGAAGCGACCCTAGTTCAAAATATATATTGTTAATTATCTGCCTCGATATTCTGGGTTATATAACCCTGTGGAAACAGCCCTTTGGCTGCTTTGAACTGGATTGTGTTAGCTTACACTTACATATAATCCAGTTCAAAGAGGATTGTATGTAGCAGTATAGATGAGGGCCCGAATGACATTAGACCCCACACCTCCTTCCCCACAATTCCAGAACTTCTTTGGCTTTTGTGACTCCTTTGGAGTTCGGAAGTTTGGAAAATGAAATATTTTGAAAAATGCCATTCCAGAATTTAAAAAAACTGAGAGGTTCATTCCAACTTTTTCTGATCTGTTTCAACTTTTAAGCACACGGCGCTCTTTCTATCCCGTGAAACTTGGAAAAAGTGGGGGAATTAATGGGAAGCGAGGGGAGAAATCTCGCCCCACCGGCTAGGAACCGTCCTTGGCCAATTCCCGGCATTGGAGAGGCTTCCAATGCTAGAGAGAAGCATTGGGGTGCAACTCGGAAAACTCGCCCCGAGGCCCCTTCTGAGTCAAATCCACATTTTCTGCTTTGAAGTGGAATCTATGGCAGTGTGGACTCAGAAAACCCAGTTCAAAGCAGATATTGTGAGATTTTCTGCCTTGATATTCTGGGTTATATAGCCGTGTGGAAGAGCCTTGAGTCTACACTGCCATATATTCCAATTCAAAGCAGATATTGTGGGATTTTCTGCCTTGATATTTTGGGTTATAGGCCTGTGAGGAAGAGCCACACTGCCATATATTCCGATTCAAAGCAGACATTGTGGGATTTTCTGCCTTGATATTCTGGGTTATAGAGCTGTGAGGAAGGGTACTGAGTCGACACTGCCATATATTCCAATTCAAACCAGATAAAGTGGGTTTTCTAGTTAATATTCTGGGTTATATAGCTGCGTGGAACGGCCCTGAGTCCACACTGCCATATATTCCAATTCAAAGCAGATATTGTGGGATTTTCTGCCTTGATATTCTGGGTGATAGGGCTGTGTGGAAGGATAATGAGTCAAAGCAGATATTTCAGTTCAAAGCAGTGTGGAACGGCCCTGAGTCCACACTGCCATATATTCCAACTCAAAGCAGATAATGTGGGATTTTCTAGTTGATATTCTGGGTTATATAGCTGTGTAGAACGGCACTGAGTCCACAGTGCCATATATTCCAATTCAAAGCAGATATTGTGGGATTTTCTGCCTTGATATTCTGGGTTATATGGCTGTGTGGAAGGGCCCTGAGTCCACACTGCCTTATATTCCAGTTCAAAGCAGATAATGTGGGATTTTCTGCCTTGATATTCTGGGTTATAGGCCTGTGAGGAAGAGCCATGAGTCCACAATGCCATATATTCCAATTCAAAGCAGACAATGTGGGATTTTCTAGTTAATATTCTGGGTTTGAGCCCTGAGTCTACACTGCCATATATTCCAATTCAAAGCAGATATTGTGGGATTTTCTGCCTTGATATTCTTGTTTATAGGCTTGTGAGGAAGAGCCATGAGCCCACACTGCCTTATATTCCAACTCAAAGCAGATATTGTGGGATTTTCTGCCTTGATATTCTGGGTTATAGGGCTGTGTGGAAGAGCCCTGAGTCCACAATGCCATGTATTCCAGTTCAAAGCAGATATTGTGGGATTTTCTGCCTTGATATTCTGGAATATAGAGCTGTATGGAAGGGCCAAGTCCACACTGCCATATATTCAAGTTCAAAGCAGATATTGTGGGATTTTCTGCCTTGATATTCTGGGTTATACGGCTGTGTGGAGGGGCCCTGAGTCTACATTGCCATATATTCCAGTTCAAAGCAGATATTGTGGGATTTTCTGCCTTGATATTCTGGCTTCTGTGTGGAAGGGCCTTTGGGATCCATAGTGAGCCAGATCAGAATCAGTTGCTTTGAAGATCCTAGCCACAGTTTGACACGAAACGGGTAGCAAAATAAAGCCATACAGCTTGGAAACTACGCAACACACAACTCCACAACCAGAGAGTTCCTTTGACTTTCTGTTTTCCACCTTAACCAGTTTAAACACAAGCGAGGCAACTCTTTCAAAACTGAAAACAATGTTGAAATCTTGCTGAAAGGAGAAGGTTGGGGGGAAGAGGAAAGGGGGGGAGGGGTCTTTCAAAATGGCTGCTAGATCCGGGATCGGATTAAAACTCGGTTATTAATGCGAACAAGAAAAGAAACCAGCTCGGGAAGAGACAGAGAGACAGAGAGAGATTGAGAGAGAGAAAGAGCGAGCCTCTATAGGTCCTCGAAGGAAGGGAGGGCGAGAGAGAGGGAGGGTTTCGGGGTGCCCTCGGAGGCTTCTCCGGGCTCCTTTCTCTCGAGGGATCCCTTCGGGTGACTCCTCTCTTTCTCTGTGCCTGTCTGCTGGCCCTCTTTCCCCGCCAGGCACCCGCTCTTCCCGCTCCTGGCCCTGATCTTCGAGAAGTGCGAGCTGGCGACCTGCACGCCTCGGGAGCCCGGGGTGGCGGGGGGCGACGTCTGCTCCTCCGAGTCCTTCAACGAAGACATCGCCGTGTTCGCCAAACAGGTCAGAAAGAGGCACAGAAGAAGGGGAGGTGGGGGTGGGACAGCCTTGGGTGCTTCTCTTTCCCTGCCTTGGCCCACCGCTCTTCCCTCTCAATCCCTGGAGAAGAGCGAAGGCCCTGATCCCACAACGCCACAACATTCCCCCGGGCCTTGCCTTTAGAGTGCCCAAAACATGCAGGCTTTGAGCCTTCACAGTGCATAGAGTGCTGGAAAGTCTTTCCTAATTTCCTCGTTCACAACCTTCTCTGTCTTTTTCTCTCCGTTTCCCATCTGCCGTTTAGATCCGAGCGGAGAAACCTTTATTTTCTTCGAATCCCGAACTGGATAACTTGGTAAGAAGTTGCTTCTTTTTTCGTCCTGTTTCCTCAAGAAGTTTAATTGCGGGAACCTTTTGGATATACTGTAGGAAGTTGGGCAGGGAAACAAGAGGGCTTTTCCATACCTCCAGATAAGGCAGAACACCCATAGTATTGGCTTTGAATTGCATTATCTGAGTCCACACTGCTATATAATCCAGTTCAGTGTGGATTTTAGGCGTTGGAAGTTGCCCTGAGTCCCCCGAGGAGACGGGGCGGGTCATAAATAATAATAATAATAATAATAATAATAATAATAATAATAATAATAATAATGTTTCAAATAATAATAATTGTGTTTCAAATAATAATAATAATAATAATAATTATTATTATTATTAGAAACACAACAAGATGACTCCACAGCAGGCAAGAATCACATATGATGTATTGGATCATATGTTGGTCACTTCCCAAGTGTCTAAGACTGTGTGATGTGTTATTATTGTAATTGTTATTATTATTGTATTATTATTATTATTATTATTATTATTATTTGAAACACAACAAGATGAGTCCACAGCAGACAAGATCACTCTGCTGATTGTTGTATTGGATCACACATAGGACACTTCCCAAGTGTCTAGGACTGTGTGATGTATTATTATTGTTGTTATTATTATTATTATTATTTGAAACACAACAAGATGAGTCCACAGCAGACAAGATCACTCTGCTGGTTGTTGTATTGGATCACATGTAGGACACTTCCCAAGTGTCTAGGACTGTATGATGTATTATTATTGTTATTATTATTATTTGAAACACAATAAGACACTCTGCTTACTGTTGTTTTGGCTCACACTTCGGACACTTCCCAAGTGTCTAGGACTGTGTGATATATTATTATTATTATTATTATTATTATTATTATTATTATTATTATTATTACTATTAGAAACACAACAAGATGAGTCCACAGCAGATCACTCTGCTGGCTGTTGTATTGGATCATATGTTGGACACTTCCCAAGTGTCTAGGACTGTGTGATGTGTTGTTGTTATTATTACTATTACTATTATTATTTGAAACACAACAAGATGAGTCCACAGCAGACACTCTGCTGTTGTTGTATTGGATCACACTTAGGACACTTCCCAAGTGTCTAGGACTGTGTGATGTATTGGTGGTGGAGATCCCAGTAGGGTGGCCTTCTGCAGATGACAGATTGTCATTTTGTCAGCGCCTGATTGTGTTTAAGTGCAGGCCAAGGTCTTTAGGCACTGCACCCAGTGTGCCCATCACCACTGGGACCACCTTGACTGGCTTGTGCCCGAGGCTTTGCAATTATTATTATTATTATTATTATTATTATTATTATTGTTATTATTATTGCTGCTGCTATGTGGAAGGGGCCTGAGGCTGGCTCTACCCCAGCATTGCCGTTTCTAGAATGCATCTTAACTTGCATTAATCTGGATGAGAAGCAGTGTGGACTCATATACTCTGGTTCAAGGCGGTGCCTTTAGGAAATCCCGTTATATAGCAGTGTAGAATTAATCTGAAGGAAAGGAATAGTTGCTTACCTGTAACCGAGTGAAATTCGCACATATTCCCAGGCAGGACCTATATGTGCAGTTTCACAGGGACCATGAAGGAGAAATATAGATACTGTATATTATTTTTTCCTCTGCTTCTGAAGCCGTTTTCAGACTTCTGGAAAGAGTATGCATTGGGTTGTTGTAGGTTTTTTCGGGCTGTATGGCCATGGTCTAGAAGCATTCTCTCCTGACGTTTCACCTACATCTATGGCAAGCATTTCTATAGAGTTTTTCTTAGGCAAAGCGTCCTCCTCTAGGACCTCATCACACTAGAGAATGGATCCGCTTTAAATCCGGTTTAAATTCTGGGCATTGTAGTTTAGGGAGAAAACTTTAACAGCCTCACTAAACTACAAACCACACAATTCTGCAGGAGGCAGAAACTGGATTTAAAGTGGATTAATTCTCCAGTATGGTGAAGTATCACCATCTTATGGTCCCTATCATTGAGTCAAACAAACTCAAAACTCAAAATCAAAATTGATTTTGAGTATCGTTGAGTCAATTCCTGACCCAAGCAGTCCCCAAACAACAACACAAAAATCAACTGCAGATTTCGCCTTGTTAAACCCCCGCAATTAAGTGGTGGTGTTGCGGTCATAAATCAACGCACACGTCCCCTTGTTTCCCACGTGTAGTCCACTCACTCACACAAACACCTTGGATGCGGGGAGGAAAGAGAGAGAGACAGAGAGAGAGAGAGAGAGAAGAGAGAGAAAGAGAGAGAGAGAGAGACTCCGAAGCCAAAAACAGTATTGTTGTTTTCTCTCTTTGCAGATGATCCAAGCCATACAAGTATTACGGTTTCATCTGTTGGAATTAGAAAAGGTAATTATTAATTATTATTATTATTATTATTATTATTATTATTATTATTATTATTCCTCCTCCTCCACCACCACCACCACCACCACCACCACCTCCATCTCCTCCTCCTGCTCTTCTTCTCCTCCTCCACCACTTCTTCCTCCTCCTCCACTTCTTCCTTCTCCTCCACTTCTTCCTCTTCTTCTTCTTCTCCCTTCTTCCTCCTCCTCCTTCTTCCTCTTCTCCTCCTTCCTTCTTCCTTCTTCTCCTCCTCCTCCCTCCTTTCTTCCTCCTCCTCTTCTTCTTCCTCCTCCTCTTCTTCCTCTTCTTCTTCTCCTCTCTTCCTCCTCCTCCTCTTCTTCCTCTTCTCCTCCTCCTCCTCTTCTTCTTCCTCCTCCTCCTCTTCTTCCTCCTCCTCCTCCTCTCTTCTTCTCCTCTTCTTCTCTTTTTCTCCTCTTCTTCTTCTCCTCCTTCTTCTTCTCCTTCTTCTTCTCCTTCTTCCTCCTCCTCTTCTTCCTCCTCCACTTCTTCCTCTTCTTCTTCTCCTTCTTCTTCCTCCTCCTCCTCCACGTCTTCCTCCTCCTCCACTTCTTCTTCTTCTCCTTCTTCTTCTTCCTCCTCCTCCACTTCTTCGTCTTCTCCTTCTTCTTCTTCCTCCTCCACTTCTTCCTCCTCCTCCACTTCTTCTTCCTCTTCTTCTTCTTCTTCCTCCTCCTCCATTTCTTCCTCCTCCATTTATTCCTCCTCCTCTTCTTCTTCTCAGTCCTTGACTCAGTCTGAATCGGCTCCCACCACCACCCCGTTTCCACCAAGCCGGGCATTTGCATAAATGTCTTTCTTTCTGGCAATTAGTGTCAAGACCAATCACGGCGTCCATTTCTCTTCGCGGTTTAATTACAATTTCAGCCACTCCGAATCTGGATCACCAAACGCCCAGGCCTTGTGTGTAGCCATCGTAGATGCCTACCTTGGTATCAAGAGTGGCTCCCTTCACTCTTCTTGCTTCCCGGCTGGAGGGGGATATTTTGACCCAGGGACTTGGTGGAGTTTCCCCCTGTTTGGAGAACCATCTGCAGGGTCACTCGCAGGGCACAGGCCTGTCCTGAAAGGTTTCCCAGAAACAAGCCAGACTCGCCCAGGCCTCTCTGGAGCAGAGCAGCCCCCAAATTCCTCTCCCAAGGCCAGAAGGCAAACTAATCTGCCTGGGTTGCTGAGATGTCTGACTATTTTATTCATTTTAGGATGGTTATTCTTCTTATTTCAAGTCTTTCAAGATAGACTTCTCTAAAAATGCCTTAGCATCGCAGGTGTATCTTATATTATTATTGTTGGTGTACTAAAAGAAGTCTTAGAATGGAAGACATATGGTAATACTGTAACAGTAATAATAATAATAATAATAATAATAATAATAATAATAATAATGTAGTAAAATAATAATAATAATGTAGTAAAATAATAATAATAATAATAATAATAATAATAATAATAATAATAATAATAATAAGTATATTTCCAAATAGTACTGGTCTGAAACTTATGAGAGTGAGTTTTGTACCCCCACCCCTTACAAAACTAATTTAGAGCAACATTTTGAGAGATCAACTAATACAGAGGAGTTGGGAATTTTTGTCTCAAAGTAGGAAATGAGCTGCTATTTTTTCCCCATCTTCTTCTCATCTCTCTACAAAGAAACAAAAATAATCACCCATATGGAAAATCATAGTTTGGTTACTGTGCTTCCTATTTACCATATAAGTTAGGTTATTGTGGTTACTATTTCCCATGTGGAAAATTATAATGTATGTTATGTTACCATATAGAAAACAATATAAGTTATGACACAGTGGTTAGTATTCACTATAAGGAAAACCTAACTTATATGGTTTTCCATATTGTAAATAGGGATCACTGCAACCTAACATATACTATGGTTACAGTGATTACTATTTCCTATATGGAAAATTATAATGTATGTTATGTTACCATATAGAAAACAATATAAGTTATGACACAGTGGTTAGTATTCACTATATGGAAAACCTAACTTATATGGCTTTCCATATTGTAAATAGGGATCACTGCAACCTAACATATACTATGGTTACAGTGATTAATATTTCGTATATGGAAAATTATAATGTATGGTTATGTTACCATATAGAAAACAATATAAGTTATAGCATAGTGGTTAGTATTCACTATATGGAAAACCTAACTTATATGGTTTTTCTTATGGTAAATAGGGATCACTGCAACCTAACATATACTATGGTTACAGTGATTACTATTTCCTATATGGAAAATTATAATGTATGTTAAGTTACAGTGTTTCCTATTTACCTTATTAGGTTATAGTGATTCCCATTCACTATATAGAAATCCATAATATATGTTAAGTTACAGCGATTCCTATTTACCATATGGAAAGCCATATGCAGTGGTTACTACACACTATATGGAAAACCCTAATATAGGTAGGAATCACTGCAACCTAACATATATTATGGATTTCTCTATATTGAATTGGAATCACTGTAAACTAATATATATTATGGGTTTCTATATATTGAATTGGAATCACTGTAACCTAATATATATTGTGGATTTCTATATAGTGAATGGGAATCATTGTAAACTAAGATATATTATCTACTATTTCCCATATGGAAAATTATAATGTATGTTAAGTTAGAGTGGGTCTTATTTACCATATAGAAAACCAGATAAGTTATAGTACAGTGGTTACTACTCACTACATGGAAAACCATATATGTTCAGTTACAGTACCATAACTTATATGATTTTCCATATGGTAAATAGGAATAACTGCAACCTAATATATATTATGGATTTCTATATAGTGAATGGGAATCACTTTAACCTAATAAATATTATGGATTTTTATATAGTGAATGGGAATCACTGTAACCTAAGATATATTATGGATTTCTATATAGTGAATGGGAATCACTGCAACCTAAGATATATTATGGATTTCTATATAGTGAATGAGAATCACTTTAACCTAATATATATTAGGGATTTCTATATAGTGAATGGGAATAACTGTAGCTTAAGATATATTATGGATTTCTATATAGTGAATGGGAATAACTGTAGCTTAAGATATATTATGGATTTCTATATAGTGAATGGGAATCACTGTAGCTTAAGATATATTATGGATTTCTATATAGTGAATGGGAATAACTGTAGCTTAAGATATATTATGGATTTCTATATAGTGAATGGGAATCACTGCAACCTAAGATATAGTATGGATTTCTATATAGTGAGTGGAAATAACTGTAACCTAACATATAGTATGGATTTCTATATAGTGAATGGGAATCACTGTAGCTTAAGATATATTATGGATTTCTATATAGTGAATGGGAATCCCAGTACCACAACTTATATGGTTTTCTATATGGTAAATAGGAATCACTGTAACTTAATATGCATTATAATTTTCCATATGGGAAATAACGATAAATATATGTTAGGTTACAGTGATTCCCATTCACCAGATGGAAAGCCATCACATATGTTAGGTTACAAGGATTCCTACTCACTATATGGGAAGTTCGGTTGCATTGGTTTCTATATGGAAAGCCTTGGGATGGGAATAATGTCATCATGTTCATGTTGGAAAGGGGTGGGTGTGTCCTTTGGGGGGATTTATTTATTTTGGGAGGGGAAGACATGTAGCCAGAGTTCAATGGCGTGTCCCCCCACCCAGTGGTCACAGCTCTGAGAGCAGATGCATTTGGCACGGGGGGGGGGGGGGGGGTCGACTTGGAGGCTGTGAATCATCTTGTCACTGTCAATTTTCGGGGATATCTCTATTTGGCCCGGGAAGAAAGTTCTGCGTCTCCGGGAGGGATAATTGGGAAGTTTTGGGTGTCAAGAGAAAGGGGGAATTGATCGAAGGATGATAGGATGGGTTTTGTGCCTTCTTCCCCACACGTAGGTCCACGAACTGTGCGACAATTTCTGCCACCGGTATATTAGCTGCTTGAAAGGGAAGATGCCCATCGATCTGGTGATCGACGACCGAGAAGGCGGCTCCAAATCCGACAGCGAAGACATCACGAGATCGGCGAACCTCACAGACCAGGTAGGGATCCCTTTTTGCGCCTGCCAATCTGCTGCTCTGATTTGCATACGATTAAGCCCCTTTTCGAGGCATTTCCATCGAAATGAGAGAGAGAAAAAATGTGGAATAATGTGGCTATTATGGCTTCATTAAGGACCCGACCTGGCGGGATGAGCTTGTCAAACGCCTCGCCCGCCAACTTGACCCGCGCCTTGTCGCTTTGGATTTCGCTCTTGGTTTTATCTACTCCCCCTTTTTTGAATGGCAGTGGCAGGGTTGAGGCGTGCACCGGGGGCTTCCGGTTCAAGGGGTGGCAAGGAGGGGCGGCGAGGAGGAGAGGGAGAGAGGAGACCAGCCCAGAGAGGGGGTCCGGGCCCAGAAGGAAGGAAACCTAGCAAACGCGGGCGGGTTTCGCCCTGGCTCTCCGCTTCATTCGCCTGCCTTGTCCGTTTTCCTTGGCCGCGCGCAGGCAGAGCTCAGTGAGCATTGTTTTTGTGCTGCTGCGAGGTTGGCCCGGTTTAGGGGACTTCGTAATAAAGCGTCCTCGAACTAAGACTACTACTACTACTACTTCTTCTTGTTCTTCTTCTTCTTCCTACCCTTCTTCCTTTTCTTCTTCTTCTCCCTCTTCTGCCTCCTCCTCTTCTTCTTCCTAATCCTCCTCCTCCTCCTCTTCTTCTTCTTTTTCTTCTTCCTCCTCTTCTTCCTCCTCCTCTTCTTCTTCTTCCTATTCTTCCTCCTCCTCCTCCTCCTCTTCTTCTTCATCTTCATCTTCTTCTTCCTCTTCCTTCTCCTCTTCCTCTTCTTCTTCCTAATCCTCCTCCTCTTCTTCTTCCTCCTCCTCCTCCTCCTCCTCCTTCTCCTCTTCTTCTTCTTCTTCTTCTTTTTCTTCTTCTTCCTCCTCTTCTTCCTCCTCCTCCTCTTCTTCTTCCTCCTCCTCCTCCTCCTCCTCCTCCTCTTCTTCCTCTTCTTCTTCTTCTTCCTCCTCCTCTTTTTCTTCCTCTTCCTCCTCTTCTTCTTCCTCCTCCTCTTCTTCTTCCTCCTCTTCCTCCTCCTCTTCCTCCTCTTCTTCCTCTGTGTATAGCTGTGCATGTGTGCGGTTAATTATAGTTCTTGCAAAATAGAATTTCTTGCTAACTACAAGAAAGGAGATTCCATCTGAACTTCCTGGCTGTGAGAGCCATTCAGCAGTGGAACTCTCTGCCCCGTGGTGTGGTGGAGGCCTTTAAACAGAGGCTGGATGGCCATCTGTCTGGGGTGCTTTGAATGCGATTTTCCTGCTTCTTGGCAGGGGGTTGGACTGGATGGATTCTATATATAGAGAGAAGGATACTATACAGAGAGATAGAGATATATATAAAATATGTGTATATGCATATATAAATGTTTGTATGCGTGCACAGTATATGCATATGTTTATGTGTGCATATATGTATGTATTTTATGAGTGCTTATGTGTGTGTAACTGTGTATATATGTATATGTATGTATAAATGTTTGTATGAGTGTATGTGTGTATATATGTGTATGCATGTATATGTGTATGTATATTCAGTATATGTGTATATCTGTGTATAAATGTATGTGTATGTATATACAGTATATGCATATATCTATGTATAAATGTTCGTATGAGTGTGTGTGTATATACAGTATATGCCTACATGTGTATAAGTGTGTATATATGTATATGTATATATGTGTATGTATGCAGGCTGAGTTTCGGGGGGGTGAGTTTCGGGGGGGCTGAGTCTGAGTGAAAGAGGGTCTACCCTAGCAAACCTTTTGCATTACCCCAATACCCCCATGCATATGGGATATATTGAGTATGGTGATCAGATCATGATATGAATAAACATAACAGTTTAAATAATGCACCAGTAAGGCCTTTTCGCGAACCACCATGAGAATTTCGGGGGGGGGGGGGCTGAAGCCCCCCGAGCCCCCCCCTGGCTACATGCCTGTATGTATGTATAAATGTTTGTATGTGTGTATATATGTGTATGCATATATAAGTATATGTGTATGTATATACAGATATGCATATAAGTGTGTATAAATGTTTGTATGAGTGTATGTGTGTGTATATACAGTGTATGCATAAATGTGTGTATAAGTGTATATATCACAACCTCACAGCCTCTGAGGATGCTTGCCATAGATGCAGGTGAAAAGTCAGGAGAGAATGCTTCTGGAACATGGCCACACCGTATATGTACAAATATATGTGTGCATGTAGAAATGTTTGCATGAGTTGTTTATATATTTGTATGTGTGTGTGTATAACTGTTTGTATGAATGTATGTATGCTTGTATGTGTGTATATGTATATAAAGCATATGCATAGATGGATGTATAAGTGTATATATATGCTTGTGTATGTATAAATGTTTGTATGACTGTATATAGTTTATATATGTATGTATGTATATGTGTATGTATAAATGTATGTTTGTGTGTATATGTATACACAGTATATATATGTGTGTTATATGTGTGTATGTGTACATTTTATGAATATATGTGTGTGTGTTTGTATGCGTGTAAATGTGTGTATACTAGCTGTCCCCTGCCACGTGTTGCTGTGGCCCAGTCTGTGTATATGTGTTTTGTGTGTGTATATATTTGTGTGTATGTGTATATATGTGTGTTTGTATTTATATATGTGGTTTTGCACATGCATTGTAATGTAATTTTTATTTTTTGACTTTTTAAGTCTCTTCTGCTGTGTTTTCCAGTATTTTTATGAGTGATGGTTACTCATTGGCCTGATAGGTATATTGTGTCCACATTTGGTGTCAATTCATCCAGTGGTTTTTCGAGTTATGTTAATCCCACAAATGAACATTACATTTTTATTTATATAGATACACACTTAGGCCCCTTCTGCACTGCCATATAAACTCCAGATTTTCTGCTCTGAGGTGGATTATATGGCAGTGTAGATAATCCAGTTCAAACCCTATCATGGGACTTGTCTGCTTTGAGTCCCCCCCCCCCCAGGGGGTTGAGAAGGGTGGGGTTAAAAAACAAATACCCGAAATAAATGTGATAATCTGGTGTTATGGCTGTGTAGAAGGGGCCTGGGTACTCCTTCCTTTGCTGAGTCTGCCTGCCTGCCTTGGATGAGTTTCAGGCCAGGGCAGGGAAGCCTCTTGGCTTCTCCAATGTTGAAATATATATACTAGCCGTCCCCTGCCACTGCATTGCTGTGGCCCAGTCTGGTGATCTGGAAAATAAAGTAATGTGAAAGTGTTGGTTTCTAATATATGTAATTCCTTTATGCTTGTGAGTGAACAGTATTTCTTGTTGTTTCTTTGTCAGTGTTGATGTGGAGAGTGTCTGGTTTGTCTACTCTGGAATATGCAACATATCATAGTCCTTCTTTAAGGGTCTCTTTCAAACCTATGATACTATATCTATGTGTGTGTGTGAGAATCATATCTATCTATCTATATTTATGACTGGATGGCTCTTTGTCAGGAGGGCTCTGATTACATTTTCTTTCCCTGGTGAAGAGAGTTGGACTGGATGGCCTTAAGTATTTTCTGTTGGTCATGGGGGTTCTGTGTAGGAAGTTTGCCCCATTCCTGTCGTTTGTGGGTTTCAGAATGCTCTTTAATTGTAGTGAACTATAAATCCCAGTAACTACAAATCCCAAATGTCAAGGTCTATTTCCTCCAAACTCCATCTGTGTTCATATTTAGGCATATGGAATTTTTGTGTCAAGTTTGATCCAGATCCATCATTGTTTGAGTCCACAGTGCTCTCTGGATGTAGGTGAACTACAACTCCCAAACTCAAGGTCAGTGCCCACCAAATCCTTGTAGGTCATGGGAGTTCTGTGTCCAAATTGGTTCAATTCCATCATTGGTGGAGTTCAGAATGCTCTTTGATTGTAGGTGAACTATAAATCCCAGTAACTACAAATCCCAAATGTCAAGGTCTATTTCCTCCCAACTCCATCTGTGTTCATATTTGGGCATATGGAATATTCGTGCCAAGTTTGGTCCAGATCCATCATTGTTTGAGTCCACAGTGCTCTCTGCATGTAGGTGAACTGCAACTCCCAAACTCAAGGTCAGTGCCCAAGAAACCCTTGTAGGTCATGAGAGTTCTGTGTCCAAAGACTGGTTCAATTCCATCATTGGTGGAGTTCAGAATGATCTTTGATTATAGGTGAACTATAAATCCCAGCAACTACAACTCCCAAATATCAAGGTCTATTTTCCCCAAACTCCACCAGTGTTCACATTGGGCATATTGAGTATTTGTGCTAAGTTTGGTCCAGATCCATCATTGTTTGAGTCCACAGTGCTCTCTGGATGTATGTGAACTACAACTCCCAAACTCAAGGTCAATGCCCACCAAACCCATTTTCTGTTGGTCATGGGAGTTGTGTGCCAAGTTTGGTTCAATTCCATCATTGGTGGAGTTCAGAATGCTCTTTGATTGTAGGTGAACTATAAATCCCAGCAACTACAACTCCCAAATGACAAAATCATTTTTTTTTTTTAGTGAAGGACATACATTGGTTTGTTAGGTGTCTTGTGTCTTTATAAGCAATAAGCACTTCGTTCTTGTGGGTTTTTTCGGGCTATATGGCCATGTTCTAGAGGCATTTCTCCTGACGTTTCGCCTGCATCTGTGGCAAGCATTCTCAGAGGTGAAACATTGGGTTGTTGGGTGTCTTGTGTCCAAATTTGGCGTCAATTCGTCCAGTGGTTTTTGAGTTCTGTTAATCCCACAAACGAACATTACATTTTTATTTATATAGATAGAAAGAGATATAATATATATTAGGAAAGCAGGAATTGTGCTTTTTTTAGGGAGGGGGGGTAAGGTAACCCTAAGCCCCCATTGCTCTGGAACACAGCAGTGTGTGTATGTGGGTCCCCCGGGCTGGGCTTGGGTTGGTGGGGTGCCGGAGAGGCCATCCAGCCGTGTCCCCAAGGCGCCGTTCATCTGTCTCCTTGGAGGCTGGCCCGGGGAGGCTCCTCCATTCTCTCTCTCTCTCTCTC